TTCCGAAGTGTTGAACACCTGGCGCTCGATCCCGCGACCTTTTGGTTCAAGGTTCAACGCCTCTAACCACTGAGCCACAGGCTCGTTGTCCTGTCGGTTGCGATCGGGAATACACAATGGTAGAGTGGCGCTCACCGATCGTTTTTGCCGAATTCACTCTTCCAATAACCCTAACCAGCTTGTTTCTTTGCCAATCTCACCAGCTTTTGTCTGTGAGCAGCTTCTTCATGATCACAGCTTCTTGCCATTCGGATGGCAGGACTGAGTTTCATAGTTTTATTGACCCTTAACGTGAAGCGATTACAGTACCTGTTCTATTAGTAGTAGACGCGCGAGGCCATGCTCGTGACATGACATTCCTCTCAGTATAACCCTGTACTATTCCGATTTCGTATTTTAAACGGGTTTGTTTAGATTATTTGTGTCAGCTCTTTGTGACCGCATGTCTCCAGCCGTTTTACGTCCATTAACAAGTTGCACGTCGCAGTGTCGCAGTCGACAATTGTCATTCGGATCGATCCGTGTACGCAGTTCAAGCGATGGGTGAAATGCCAACCTCTCCGACGGACTGCGTCGCTTATACGCTAGTCCACAACGGCAACTAACTTGACTCATTTCGTCAGTTAGTCACTGTCAGGCATTCTACCGGTGCAGTTTATTCTTCCGAAACATGTCAGACGGAGGTCCTGACCAGTCGTCACCTATCGGTTGACGGGTTTTGAGAGAAGAGTGCGTGGGGTCGATTCCCAGAACTCCTTCCTCGTAACAAATCATCGCACATCTCACTAACAGATCTGTCCCGTCTGACTCCCTCACGGCAGAATGAAACTCGTCCTATGCAAGCTATTCAACTGAGGAGGCAACTATGTCTTCCATTGGACAGAAATAAAACCACGATAGTTTTATTGTCCTCTTGTTTACTTGATAGCCTAGGCCTTCTCCAACCCACGACGATTTGAAGGAGCAAGTCGACTGTGGCTCCTCGTAGACCCGCCATTTGACCTTTTCGGCCACTGCACCCACTTCCGTTTCTGTTTTATTGACTGGAGTATGTCCTTGCTGTTTTCGCATTGATTTAATGTCTCCTTCTCCCCTGGGAAAAGGCGGCCGATTGGACGAGGAGGCTTCTCAGGCGCTAGTTAACTGGTCAGTCGAGCAGGCCAACGCGCTGGACCCCAACGGCCAACGGGTATTCAATGCCCCCTCTGCGCCGCCAGACAACGTTGTGCAAGGAGGCGTTGTCTGCCGTTTCGCTGTTCCGCTCTCCGTCGTGCCTCCCAGCCAGTGGGCTGGCCTCCTCGTACGACCCGTCAGTCTTCCGCACAACGACCCCGGTGGTTTTGCTGTGTCCGGTGTCAATTCGAAGGGCCTGCATGGAAACAGCCCCATCTGCGCACAGATGGCACAACGCCTGCCGGAACATGTGCGACAGGGTAGGGCGGCGGAGGAGGGCGTGTCTTTTGCGACCTTCTTCAAAACGCAGTACACGCATGCATACTCTGCGACATTGCGGCATCATGGAGTTAATGTGAACTTGCCCCTGGCCTCCAGCATCCGCATATCGAGGCACCTAAACGCTGCCGCTGTGAGTTTTTTCATATTTCACTTCTCCAATGCCCTGTTGTTGAGCCCTTAAAATGCAAGTGAGCATACGTCGACGGACTTGGGCCTCAGATAGAGCAAAATTGCCCGGTACACTATTCCATGTACAAGTACCTATTAATCATATCCTTGGTCCATAGGAAAACCGATGCATCGGGAGCCTGCAGAACCACAAGGTATACGACATATTGATGGTTTCTAAGTATGTTGTAGACGGGAACGTTTGCAACTGGTTCGACTTCAGCCATCTTCACTTTCCTCCTTCTCCCAGCTTGTCCGCCTCCGGCAAGTCCGATCCACAGATATTGACTTTCCGGTTCAAAGGACTCCCGAGTAAAATGTCACTGTCATTTGTCACACCGTCGTCTATGTTGGTCTGGCGTAGGTGGGCCTGTAGGCAGCATGATGAATTAGCCCGAACCGGGCGCCTTATGGTTTTATCGCTGTTTCTCGGATTTAAAGCAGAAGGTTTGTTCTGCGTGTGGCTTCCAGTCGAGTTGTCTTTCGCAAATATTGTGTATGTTCTGTCCGAAGTTTTTGTATTTACATCTACGACGCAGAAGCGCCTTTTCTAGTCTGAGGATCTTTTTGTAATTTTGCACAAAGTTGCAATTAGCCCCTCGGGAGTCGCACTATAAGAAATTTTGACTGCCTCGATATGCGCAGAAAACTCCACCGGCTAACCTCGCCGCATTTGCTCACACTGTCCCAAGACATTCTGTCATTGCAGGGGCCTGTTGGGCCATATGTACAGTGAGTGACCGATCTCATGAAATGTTGGCTGAAATTCTGAAATGCGTTTTCGACTAGGAAGGATTACTTGGTCGCGGTTGTAATACTGACTATCTTGCGGCATACTCTTATAACCTTTCGGACTCGGCAGGATGTCGGCTTTTAAATGCACTCCATTTCAATCTCCCGTAGAAAGCGTACTCGGTAAAAAATGATTACTTAAGTAACATACTTTTTACCGCTGATTTTTGAGGGTCTTGCAAATTCAAAGACATTTTATAGAAACCATAAACAAAATATGCTCTCTTTTAGTCAATCAATAGAGAATCACGTCTTCTTTGTATTTTATACTTAAGGAAGGGTTATTATTAGGTTTTACAAAAGTTTTCTAATTGCCGAATAATTGGGAGCCTGATTATTCGTTGCATTAGCGCTTAGTGATTACACTCTACAAGGTGGATGCGTTCCACGTAAAGAAAATCCCATATTTTTCTATGCCATTAAAGAGATATTATACAGGGTCCATAAAATGTTGCAATGGATGCGGAAGATGTTGTACATTTCATGAGGAGCAGTGGCAAACGGCCAGGTACGATGCTATGTGAATAGACATATCGCGGTCTTAAGAAGTCTCATAATTAGAAACTTTTTTAAAACCTAATTATACTCCTTCCTTAAGTATAAAATATAAAGAAGACGTGATTCTCTATTGATTGACTAAAAGAAAGCACATTTTCGTTTGTGGTTTCTATAAAATATATTTGAATTTCCAAGACCATCGAAAATCAATGGGAAAAATGCATGCTACTTAAGTAGCCATTTTTTACCAAGCACACTTTCTACAGGAGATTGAAAAGAAGTGCATTTTAAAGCCGACATCCTGCCGAGTCCAAAATGTTATAAGAGTGTGCCTTATGATAATCAGTATCACAACCGCGACCAAGTAATCCTTCCTAGTTGCAAACGCATTTCAGAATTTCAGCCAACATTTCATGAGATAGGTCACGCACTGTACATCTATGACGCAGAAGCGCCTTTTCTAGTCTGAGGATCTTTTGTAATTTTGCACAAAGTTGCGGGAGTCGCTCGAAGATAAATTTTGACTGTAGGAGTAGACATGGTTTCCTTCTAAAGAGTTAAGAATTCAACAAATGCGTTTGCCTTTGTTGTCCTCTTTCATTTTTCAGTCAAATGTGGTTTGGTAGCCCCAGCTGAAGTAAACGAACCTCAGTCACCTCTAATATGGGATCGGCGGTAATAGGGGTTTTTACAGGTGGAGCCGGGGAATGCACAGACGACGAGTTCAAGTAATTTTATGCAAAAGGAAAACTATTGGGAGTGCGTGGTTGTACTTTCAATGATTGAGAAATAGATGCGCTAACTCCAAACCCGAACTATAACCCCTAACCCTAACCCTTAATCCCGACCCAACAGTATTGTGTCCATGAGGTGGGGCTACCAAACCACGTCTTACAAAAATGTGCGGCCCGTTGTCACCTTTTTGGGTTGTTGCCACGTAGCACACACGAACAACAGTCGTGTATGGAGGTAACCCGTCTTATGACGCCAAGAAGGTGATCCGCATCTCTGTCGGCATCCTCTTTGTGTAGTTTGAGGTAGCCAAGAGACATGTTCCACTTTATTATCCGATTGCTAGTGAGTCAGCCTGACAGGCGTTTAACGAACTCCCACTACATTATTCGGGCGTTTTAGAGGTTAACGACCTCATAATGGGCTTCTGTCGACGCTCCAATTGTACTCCTCGCTCACTTGACTGTTTGACATGTATGCCTTCTCGCTGGTGTCTTAGGTTTCCGCGGGTCGCAGAGAGGACTCGAAGGGGGTGCACGTCGAAGATCGCCTGCCCGACATGTGCATTCTCCACCCACTCAACGCCTGGCTCTGGCTGACCCTCTGCCTCACGCCCACAGTGCTCTATCAGGTCACGCGCTGTCTGTCAGCCTGTGAGCTGGCCAACCTGCTCACCTGCCGTCTCTACGATCGCCCCACCGCCGCCGCCGACAACACGGAACTGCCCTTTGGCCTGCCGGAGGGCGACTTCTTGATGCCGGATAGCGGCAGTATCAGCCTAACCGCCATTCCACCCCTGCAGCGGTACTTTGATAACCTCCCCAGGGAGAATCGGCAGATCTTCGACAAGATTGAATGAAACGTTGGAAGAGGAGTCTGCCCTGGATGAGGCCGTCCTCGCTGCTCGTCAGGTATTCCGAGGTCCTCCTAGTTTTCAGCTTTTACATCCCTCTGGATTTTTGTACTTCTATAAGTATTGCCTCTCAGCGGCATCGCGAACCGGTGCTGTTCATAGTTTGTGCGTTGAACGTCCGAATCTTCGATAACTTTTTCCAATCTGTCCTTCCCGTTCCGGACGCCGGTCATTTGGACAGGATTTTACGGGGATTATTTTGTTGACGTCTGGCACTCAACACATTACCCACCCACCAGACAGCGAATGCCAAATCTAACAACAAAATTTTAGTACGATGTACATTTAACATTTATATTTTATGTACCGTTTTCAATAGGGTCATCAAGGGCATTGCCTATTACCCTAAATACACTATACACATAGTAAACCTCGTCACGCTTCAGATCTTGTTCGTCAACTAAAACCGCAGTATTTCCCACGGACAGGACTTGCGAGATGCCTCGACCTCTCGTAGACCAGAAACATTTAATGGCTACTTTTCACAAACTGTAGTATTATGTGGCTCCGTGCTCATATTCTGCAGAACCTCATGCTGTAAAACAACTGACCATCCTTGCACACTATGAAACATGCTTTCCTACTGATATGGGCTTATCGGTAGCATAGACGCACCAAAATCTGCATAGGTTTTTGATGTCCGGGAGGTGGACTCCACTTTCGGTGCGAAAACGTCTGCAAATGTTTTGATGTTTTCGGCCACCATTTTCAGCGATCACTGCAGGTGGGTAGTTTAATGAGTGACGATTACTTGCCGTACAATGGATTTCTTGAATCCAATGCGAATGGTCCAACATAGAGCTGGGAAATTAAGTCTGAGTGGGATCATCAATGAATGAGCGGTAACCGGGCGTTTTGCTGATGGGTAGTAATTTACTGCTGAACCTGTTCTTTCCTTCTCACAGACAGGTGCCACGCCGTCTGGTGATGCCGTCACGACAGGCCGTTTCGTGCCCGATCCGGACTATCTGCTTGAGGCCACCACCACCCTCAACGCCGTGGACGCCGTCAATCTGGAGCGTCTTGAGCTGTTGGGCGACTCAATGCTGAAGTTCGCGGCCAGCCTGCTCGTCTACTCTTCCCTGCCGCCTAGCGCTGACGAGGGTCAACTCACCTACCTGCGCATGGGCCACATTAGCAATGCCAACCTTCACCGCCTCTCTGTGGAGCTGGGTCTGTATCACTACCTGTGGTCTTTCTCCTATGATCCCACCAAGCACTACACTCCACCCGGATTTTTCCTCTATGATGCGGTGAGCACCTCAGTGACATTCCGATTTTTGCTTCTCCTAATGTTGAGGTATGGCATGGAAATGAGCCCAGACCGCCGGTGTCCGTTTGCATCTTGACATTCTTGTATCTGTGTACCTTGTACTGTGTCAGTGGTCTTCACCAGCAAGTGCTTGACCTACTAATTGACTCAAATGACGCTTTTATAATCCTATATATATTCACTCAGGAATGGGCGCACACCGATCCATTGGCTTCCCGAAGCAAACAAGCTTCGTATGGGCGATAGGGGTCACGAACAGGCAACCGCCTAGCAGGCCGAAGTCGACCAAGCTATGATAGCAGAGGGGAGACGACAGAGTCTGGGGGGTAGATTGATACAGCACTGTTTCGGGCTTATGTGCGCCCATTCCTGAGTGAATAAATACCCGATCTGCAGCGACAGAGAATGGCAGGTGGCGAGGCATTGATGAACTTCGGTTCGATGAAGTGCTTATGACCCATCTGGTAGACCCCAGTGGTGGACCAGCTGCGCCAGGTGCGTCTGTGCGCATGTTTGTGTTTCCGGTATCAGCTGGTGGTCAGTGTTATGGTTGGCTGAATGAAGGCAAACAAGCCCGAAACAGTGCTGTATCAATCTACCCCCCAGACTCTGTCGTCTCCCCTCTGATATATATATATACATACTTGCGCACGTACGATGCTTCAGAGAAAACGCAATAGTAAACTATCGTTCTTTTGATCTTCCCATCCATCTTTCCAGGAGAACGCTCGCAAGTCTCATGACCCTCGTCTGTACGTGAAAATCTATGACAAGGATGTAGCTGATTCCGTGGAGGCTATGCTAGGCGCCTTCCTTTACCATCTTCAACCCTCCGCGGTCTCGCGTCTGCTAGCATTCCTCGGCCTGACTTGTAAGCCGCAACCCCTCGCCGAGTCTCCCGACGCCAACAGTCGTGCCGCGGTAGATGCTGTGTTGCGCCAGCTGTGGGTGTCATCTGAGTCCTGGAATAGCCTCCTTCTCCCACCTGACCGTCCTCTGGATCCCGATCTAGTGTTAGAGAACCAAGCCGCTCTGGAACGCCGTCATGCGGAGGTGGGGGCTCTTATTTCGGATAACATTTCGATCGCAGCCCGCACCGCTAACTCCAACGCCATTGACATCGATAGCATGACAAACCAGCTGGCCGACCGTCTCACTCTCGTGCCTTTCTCTCAGACCCTGGCGAACAAGAAGGCCCAGTTGGCTGATCTTGAGAGCATTTTGGGCTACGAATTTCGCCACATACGTTTGCTTATCCAGGCTATTACACATGCGAGCTCGCTTTCAGCTCATGATTGGGGCTGCTATCAACGGTGAGCATGCCGCTGCTATCCTCTGTTTTCCTGTGATCTAGTTTTATTGTCCATTTTTTTGCCCTCGACAAACTCGAAATACTTTTCTGTTCTGTTAACAATTGTCATCTTCCCGGTTGTGCGCTTGTGTTTGGACCCATCTTTGTGTGGAATTCACAGTATGCAAGTCCGAGCAGAGCACGCGGAACGTACCCCACCGGTCGGTCGCATATTCGGTTAAGCCGTGTCTGGCTAGACGGTCAGTTGGTCGGGGGAAACCTAGTTTCTAGTAATTCCTGGATTTCAAGTTTGGCGCCTCATCCACCATCTATCGCATCACTCTGTGGCTCCACAATCGCACGGCACGGCGGGCAACATTCTAAGTAGCATTATTCCTCTCTGACTTTTACTTTTTTCGCCGGCAGCCATTTAGCAGATCGGAGCTAAAGCGCCTTGAAGGCGCTGTGTACGTTTCGCGACTATCCATTCTCCAAAAGCAATAGGGGGCTTTCTTGCGGCTGATCTTAACTGAAGGCAGAGTACCTCTCCGCACCTGGCGAGTCCGACAATTTCGTCTGTTTCGGGTGAAAACGCAGTCATGATTGGCAAGGCTGGACACGGGCGGGAACAAGAAATCTGGCAAGCCCATGCGGCCTGTCCTTGCGTAGTGCATCGACTGTTCTCTTTATCCAGGCTTCGTTCAGTAGGTGTGGAATCTTACGGGAATATGAAGACTAACCTAGAATGGATCATTGCTGACCAACCCGCTTGGCTCTGGCGATCCGAGGTAACCTGTCGGCCTCAGTCTTCAAAACCACAGTTTTCGGTTGGACGTGATAACTGTCATCACACCAGGCTTTTAATGGTGAAGTAACTGGATGCGAAATGTCTCCCTCCTTTCCCCTATCCACGAACGACGTATTTGGGTTTGTTGCTGGGGGCATGAAGAGGCTTCCTGACTTTGTGCCTCTCCCCGAGCCTGCATGTCTTCTCTTGGGTTCTCTTTGTAGACTGGAATTCCTCGGCGATGCTATCCTCGACTTTGTGGTTACGCAACGGATATTTAAGGAGCATCCGACCTTCAACCCAGGCGAGTTTTATGCACCCTTAACGATCTCTATCGTCCTCTGTGATTTACTGCATCCCTTCTTGCCAATTCCTGCCTCCACCTGCCTCAGCAAATTTGACTGATTGCGTAAGATCCTGCATCTATCGGCTACCCTTCTTCCATTTTCACAGCCTGACATCACCATTGGAGGGCAGGTTCGATCGGGCGAATGCCAAGCGCACAGGTTTCGTTAGGTTAACGTACTCTGGCCACAGCTTGCAAAGTTCTCTCTACCCGCATTAATTGAGGCCTCAGTTTTAATCCTTCACTGGCAGTTTGGCAACGAAATGACTCCAAGGTACTTAGCGGTGTCCCCCTCCTCAAGACGACAGCTGCTGACCACTAGTGTCCTGTCTCACTGTCAGGGGAACAGAACCGAGGTGCAGTGCCTACAACTTTTATTGACACCGGGTCAATTAGATATAGTTAATCAGAATGGACAGTGTGCTTCATTCTTTCCAAACACCTGGCCGCCTATCGAGCGATTTTAAGATATCGTTGAAACAGACTGGAACAGTGTGTAGTCCACAGGAAATCCCCATCACAGCGTTTATTGCAGCTGCATTAACCGACACGTTACTCATGATGAACTGAGTCAAAACTCTGCAACAGCGAAATCCACAACACGGACTTGAATTCAGCTACTAGTCGCCTTAAGAGCATTCGAGAATGTGCCGCAGGGCGAATAATTTATGCTGACCGGAACCTTTCATGTGCTAGACATCTTCGCCGAGTCGACCTCATGTTGCTTTTCTATTCTCCCTCCATTTTACCTGCACCTACTTGCGCCAAATGAAGGCGAACTGACGGATCTGCGTACCGCCCTCGTCTCAAACATCAATCTGGCCATCGTGGCCGTCCGACTGAACATGCATCGTTACCTGGACCAAACGGATCACACCCTCTGGGAGAACATTGGCAACTTCGCCCAGGTTGTTCTCGAGGAACCCTACAAACTCTGGCAGTTGGAGGTATGGTGTCTAGAATTCATCCTTTTCTGGCCCCTTTAAACACTCCAGTAGTAAGGAAAAGTCTATTCTTTCGAATATTTTGCGACATGTAACACTTTTTCTGTCATCCAAATGGTGCTGCGATGTGTCCGCCATTCCAATTGTCAAGTGGGTCTAATGCTGCGCTGTTATTTGCGAGTTCGGCTTTCTGATGCTTCATACCACAGGTGTGTGAGACGTTGTTTATGCATAGAAGCGTCAATACAAGTCCTTTAGTACAATTGAAAAGAAGCTGACGAAAGCGTGAAATCACTGAACCACGTCTTGAGCCTCTGAACTTTGGATATCAGGAAAAAAAAGCAGCGAGACTTGCATGGCATTTGTGTTTCACGGCTCGTGACACAGATACGGGTCTCCGTTATGGTCCAATCTGTTTCCTTAACAGCTCCTACGTCAGTCTCTTTGTGTCGGCGAGGTGGATCTCGCGGCTCATCTTCAGGGTGTTGTGGATAGTTTGGGATCAGGGCTTTTATTCCTCTACGCCATCAGTGTCACCCCGCTTTACGCTGATCGGACATCTTTATGTCCACCTCAAGGGCAACTTCGGTAGGACTGAAGTTACACCCACTACCGGCAATGCGAACCCAATGGCATGTTGTCCACGTTGTCACCGCAAATTGCGATTACCTGCGAATCCATCGCGGTGCGATTGAAGCCACGATCAACAGTTACGGATCCCCACCTTTCCGGCCCACCCTGCACCCGCAGTTTCAACCGCGGCATCGTCAGATTCGGTCATATGCGCGCTCATTGAGACCCTGCGTTGCTCACACCACGGTCCTACTGCCCTATTTTCTATAGTCGGTAATCACGGACGAACCGACGTACTTGCCGCTTTGGGCGACTGTACGATGCGTCACCCACTGCACCTAATCTTGTACTTAGTAGGCCGACAGACCGGGATTGGGGATGAAAGGGTGAGGTCGGTCCTGGAGGTCCCCTCCTCATGTTAGCATCGTGTTTCCTACGGGGTTTTTCTCACTTCGACCATCTCTGTATTCGCCACCGTGATAACACCATCAGCAATGCATTCTCCTCTGGTGTAGCGCGTCAGTTTACGTAGCTGTCGGGTTGTGGTCGCTGTGCTCTGCGTTGCTTCGTGGAGGCGGAGATGGGTGCTGAGGGTCTGGTGAGCTCAGACTGTGATAAACAGCCACTGCAGTCGGACTTGTGGCACGGCCGGTAATGAACTATCCTGCCATCCATCACCGAGCTATTGAACACTTTTCAGACGGATACGTACACACACGAACGAAAGCAGGCGCGGATACCAGCACACCTTTTCGCATGCCTAACACGCTCAACTTTCTTCATTTTCCTTCTACGGCAGTAGCCACTCTTAAAACTAGAAACTGGTGTGTACTCGGCTGGAGACTGAGTCTTTTTCCGCCGCCTTTTGGCGTCTAGGCGCATTATCTCCCTCCCTGCTACCTGCCCGCAGCTGCTATGTTTCTTATGTTTTTTGTTCGTCAGGACCAGTACAGTGGGTCGTCGCGGTCACTGAGCTACAAAGTCCTCGGCGACATGGTGGAGGCCATCATAGGGGCCGTCTACATTGACTGTGGCGGTTCTATGCCCGTCATCACGAGTGTCATCTACAAACTCCTTGAACGCGAATTTGGTAATTTGTCATGTTTATCCTCTCTGCTCATTGTATGTGCTAGCGCCTTTTTGAATCGCAGAATGATCAAACCACCACGTAGTGTTTGACCACCATGTTTGGCGCCTTGAATTTGCTCACCCCCTAACGACGTTGTTATTGGACAGCTATGTCTTCGTGTACACTGCAGTGCGTTTTGTCGCGCTGATATGGCGCACTTGTAGAACAGCTTTGGTGGTTAATTGAGTGGATCCCGTCTGTGGCAGTACTTGTGTCGTCGTTTATGTCGCTTTCAGGAACGTTGGCTTTTAGAGAGCCACAGTCTCTGCGACGTCAAGGTAGACCATCTGATAGCCTGGAGGAAGATGACTGTAAAATGTTCTTTTAATGCAATCGCATCCTCTCCCTTCGTTGACTGCCGTCTCTTGGGGAAGGTCCCCACTGATCATCTTATCTGTGCCTTCCTCTTATCACCATGTGGGAAAGAAGATGGAGACGGGCAGTCCTATTTCCCGTCCTTTGAAGTATGAGTAAAACGGATCGCACGAAAACCTATCGAAGTCGGCCAAGCTTCTCCATTTTATGACCACCTGCCATCTTTTTCCACTGCGTATGGTCTGCGGGAGGCCATTCCACTAAGCCGTTTTTTGTCTGATCACAGTGCGACTTGAACAGCTGGGTGACGACTTTTAGAAGGCATACGTATGATTACCAGCTGACATGCTGAACGTTTATGTAAGTTCACAGGCGGGTGTAGCAGCAGTCGCTTTGATTACGCGTATGTTTAGTGCTACCTGCACTGATCTTAAAGGCTTACGGCAGAATGCTTTTGCGGCATGCTATCGAACCTACTAGACCACGCAGTTTTCTTATGTATTATCGTTTTTCCAGAACTTTTTTCGTGTCGTGGACAGTAAAAATGTTCTTTTTTCTCACTGTCCGCGTAGTAGACTACATGATTTCCATAACTCTTCATTGCCTCTTTTAAGTAGAATGACTTTTCGAGGGTGTTTTTCGTACCAGGTGACTAGTGATTTGTCGTTTGGTCGTTAAGATGTGCGTTTTTTCTTATCTTTTGTGGCAGAGGTGTATGGCCAAGATATCCCGGTAGACCCAATCCGCCTCATGCACGAGACTTATCCGAAACTCGAGATCTCGTAAGTGTCCGCCTGTCCTTTCTGTCCCCTTTGCCTTACTGTTTCGTTGTTTGGTTGACTGATGTTACGCGAGGCACATTTAGCCTCTTCGTTGCGTATACTTATTACTTTTTCAAGTTTGCAGAAACCGAAGAAACCGTCTGATTGTTCTGTAGGCTCTTAGGAAACTTCGTTTTCTCAAACAGTGGTATTTTGAGATTCAGTATTGCTCAGTATGTATCTGAGTCATTGACGTACTTTTTCAAGAGACCTATATTATCAGTTGCGCCTGAGTATTCAGTAATGCCAGACTGTGTTTATGTAAGCAACTAGTTGCAGGGCGAAAGTGTATATTACCAGAGTAATGATTTTTTGCTAATTTACTGATCGGTGATGACTTTTCCAAAGCTCGATATTTCGTAAGCGCCCGCTTATCCTTTCTGTTTTCTTGACCTTACGGTTTAGTTATTCGATTGACTGGCGTAACGTATTGGCACATGTGCCCTCTTTGTGGTGTAGATTTTCTACTTTTTTAAGTTTGCTGAAGCCGGACAAGCCGCCTGATCGTTCGGTAGGCGCTTGGAAATCTCAGTCTTCTTAACCGGGGCATGTTAGAGTGTGGTATTTTTCAGTATATAAGCAGCTGGGTAATTGGCATATTTTTTCAAGAGACCCTCATTATCACCTGCGCCTGAGTATTCAGTAATGCCAGGCTGTGTTTATGTAAGCAACCAGTTGGAAAGTGAAAGTGTATATTATTAAAGTACTGGTTTTTTGCGAAGTTGCCGATCGAACATGACGGGAAATCTCGACCGAAAGCCGGTACTCCCCGTTTGACTACATTGTCGTGCGATACTGTGCGTCTATTCACATATTCTATAATCAACTAGTATCCAAACCGCTACCTTAGTGTTTACTCGTTGATGTTGAGGGAGTGGCGTTCCTCCACCGCTTTGACTTGGTTATGCAATCAGTCCTTGCTCCTCCATCTGGGTATTGATGCCAGTTGTTGAAATTTTCCTTCAACAGGTCCAGTGAGAAGGTGGTGGTTGACGAGGAACAGAATGGTGGACGGGGTTGCGGCAACAGGCGGACAGTTTGTCGCATTCAAACAACCCACAACGGACGTACCATTGTGGGCGAGGGACCGAATCTAAGGGCCGCCAAATTGTGCATCGCTCACCAACTGGGCGTTTCCTTTGGTTAGGCTTGGTTGCCGACGGTGCTTCCTTGATCTGGATCTGCTTGACCTTTGCATTCCATTCTCTGCCCTGCGTGTGGCGCCATCTTTATACCAACCCCGGTTACAATCCCTGTCTTCCGCTTCATCTGTACTGACCCGGCTTATGTGCTTTTTAGTAGATGTGCTGACACACGTAGTACTCGCCGCCAGTGACGCCTTTCTCCTTACTGATTTTATTCTTCTCTTTTCTTATTTATCCAGCCAAACTCACCTTAAATTCGAGCTTATTTCTTGGTTTGTTCGAAATGTTCTTGTTTTTTTTTTATTGAGATTTTATGTCGTGCTGGAGGGCGTTTTGTGTGACAAGTTTGATTACAGCCGGGTTATTCGAGTGGGTAATTCGGCCATAATTATGCATGTGTTGGGTGTCCAAGCTGGGGGTATACCACTGACGATCAGAGGGAACAGTAGGTGCCATTAGGCTAAAAGTTTGATGGCCCTAATGGAAACACCGGGTTTGCTGAATTGACGTTCCACGCTCGTGGCGGGCATGAAAATGACCCGGACGCCAGTGCGGACACCGGGACGTCTGCTATTCTTGCAGTTGTTGACGCGATAGCTGTAACCAGCGGCTGTGGAATCAACTACGTTGATATTCCGATGGTACGTTCAGTCACTGACCCGACAGTTCGGCCGTCGTTCCCGACGATGTCCACCGTGTGTTCCACTTAAAGGTAACGCAGGCCCGATGAATTGCGCGTGAATTAGTTTATAATGATAGCAGACTTGCACAGCATCTACCGCAACCCCTCCTCCTACTCCACTTGGACACGGTGTCAAGACATAGTCAAGAAGACCGGAGGCGGAGGAGTGTGCACGTGAATGGCGCAGTCGATCCCGCACCTTGGCGCTCCACTCCACACCCCCTTGTCCACACAGCAAATGACCAGGATTTTAGCCAAATACAAACAACTGTCTGCTGCATTTAATCAATAAACCGAGTTCATATGCCTTTAAATGCTGTTGACGCATGAAATTCTGTATTCATCTGTACAGTTTTTCTTATTCCCCTTGTATTTCTTTAATGTTACTTCCCTTCCATTTTCTCCACATACTTCCTCTGCATGAAACCAATAGGGATTTCAAAGGTGCACACCCACTTTCCCTGAAATACACTGATACTAAAGGAGGGGAAACTGGCGCGACTGGGGCCACACCTAGGCGTGTCGTCACAACTGGCTCGAATCCCACGGGGTTGGAGTGTCATAAACGCCACATTAAAGAGGAGCCATTGCATCCTTACTCCGAGACCGCCAGCCGACCGCTCCACACAAACACACAACACTGGACCGATTGCGAGGTCCTAGTTATCCCGTCAGTTGGCAACCTTCCAAGCCACGGCGTTTTAGTCATCGGCCTCACTCTCCCCATTCCCAGGCCCCAGTCATTGTCCGAACCGGTCCGTTAACAGGTGCGGGAAATGGGTGAGGTCGCTGACATGGTCTAGTGGCCTTGTCTGCGCGCGCCACATGCAAGACGTGGCCCCCCAAACACAAGCACCAGGATTTCACACAACGGGGTTTGAGCGGCGTACCTCTCACATGCCGTAGGTCATGTTAAGAAGGAGCCGCTCCAGCCTGGTTCTCGGCCCGCCACTCTGCACATTCACATACACACATCTGTGCAGATTGCTTGGGCTGAGTTTGGCGTCAGTCAGCAGCCTTCCAAGTCACAGCGCTTGACGCGCCGTGATATCCTCGGACTCAAATCACATATGCACCAAAGAAGCAGCATGGAGACGAAGCCGAAACGCACACTTCTCACTTGCGTGGGAGGTGGCAGTTGGATGTTTGTGGTGGATGATGCTTCGTGATGTAGATGTGATGGTGCGGTTTAGCTGGCGGTTGTCTATCGCAGGTTTTAGTGAATGCGCATGTGGCCGAATAGGTCCATGCGGTGGGTGAATGGGCAGGTGCTGCGAGGGCAGTGGAGGCGGATGCAGCGAGTGTATGTGGCCGCTCCAATCCCTGGTTCGTCAGGCTCTCTGCTATGGATTCGGAAGTGACCGAGCAGGCGATGTGTGAGGTGAAGGTGCGGTCGCAATGAGGACAGGTATGGATAGGGTCCACATCGCTGGTGTTGTTGATATGGGGGGAGGGTTGATATTTGTTGGTGTGTCAGGATTTTAGGCAGTGGTGGTGAATATAGGAGCCGCCGTAGCGTTTAGGGAAACACTGCGGCAAGCCACAGCGCA